CATAATCGCATTTGTCATGTAAAATGGACCATAAAACATGCATCACACGACACTTTCATATTGTGACCCCGGTGACCTGACCTCGCTGTGACCTGACCTGGTATCAGTGACCTCAGATAGCAAAGTATGTGTTTGACGAACAATGTACCATCGATGGTTTTCAATGAATTACCAATTTACTCGATTTCACAACACATTTCTTGAAATGCCTGTGAACGTTGAAAATCTGACCTTTGACCTGACCTGTGACGTCATCGGTTTGACCTAGGTCAATGAAATTTGGTCACGAGGTAGTTCCCGGGTGGGGCTATCGAACGCCGTTTGAATTTTGAACATCGGCCGGTAACTTTCCGAGATCTTAGGGGGGGGGGGCCGAAACGGCCCCCCCCCCCTACGGGTGGTAGGGTCCGCCGGTAGCCCTACGGGGCGCGGGTTAAAGGTCAATTTTTCGGAAAAAAAATCTAACTTTTCAGATTTCCGCGACACTCGCTGGTAGGACAATGGATTTAACCCTCGCCAGCACATGCCATTTTCCCATCCTAGAACGCACATGGGGAGGGGGGAACGGTGCACTGTTGGAATATCACGTGCGGTGCCCATCATATACCGATGGCGCTGCCGTTTGTGGTGCCAAGCCAGCTAGAACAGCTACTTGTCGCACTATCCGACTAGGTTTTTACTGGCTGTGGTCATTTCAGGTCAAGCTAGGTCAAGGTCAATGATATGTGTTTGCGTGTCTGTGTGTGTCTGTGTGTATACTGATGTGTGCACTGATTGGTTTGTGTGTCCCTATTATATGGGATCATGATCTGAGAAGCTTCTACCAAAAATGCAGAAAAAAATCACGAAAAGTAAATTGAGCAAGCCTAAAATTCAATGCTTTTAGGTGACCTAGGTTGACCTTGACCCTGACCCTGACATCTGCACATCGTCGAATAACATGTTCCATGATAGGTAGGGGGTAAGACTAGCAAAAACATACCGAACCAAATACCAACCAAAACCATGGGAACATAACAAACCGAGCCAACTTGGGATATTGAGGTAAATACAAACTTGATTTCACAACCTCTTACCATTAGTACATTTCACAACCACAACCATTAGTGAAGGATTATAATGCCAGCAAAATACCAAGAGCATTAGGATTGAAATACCTACCAAATACCAAGCTAATGTCGCCTCAGCATCCGTATTTCTGTATACCAAAATGTTGGTATATGATTGACATCTCTAATCAGTAATCATCCAACAAAATTAATCTGTCAGTAAAACGATGAGTAGGAACATGCTAATCACATTGACGATCTGACAAAGAGAATACGCGTAATGTTTGGTAAAGAGAAACGCGTCGATTTCACTAACGGCGGACAGCTCCGCGCGCCGCGGCCCGCTGGATGGGTGCCAAATTGGCTTGTTTACGTACAGGCTGGATTGAGCAGTGTAGGAGACGCTCTATGCAATTCAGTTTGGTTTGGCTGGAAAGGCTGCCGCGACTGGATGCGGGCCTGACGGGGGTGAAAGGGGGGAGCCGCACGGAATGTCCGATCATCCAGTGAGCCAGGTCAGCGCCTGCGGCCCCGGTCGGAGGCGGCGATCGGACCTGCCGAGCTCAGCACTTACCGGTGCCGACGGCCACCACGCTGGCCTTCCTGCCCTCCTCCGACATCACGCCCGCAGCGAATCAATACCGAGACAGGCGGCACGGCGACGACGAGCCGTCGGCGAGCGCGGCCGGCGCCGGACGCGGCGCGCATGCTCCCAACCCGGCGCAGACGGGCGCGCCGCGCGCTCCTCACCCCATCGACCCGGTCCGGTCCGGCCCGGTCCATGCGGCCCGCTCACCGATCCCCTCCCCCCCCCCCCCCCCCCCTCCCAGAACGTCAGTGCTTAGCCTCATTGCAGTGATGCAAGGACTTATTTATCACGCATAGGCAGCACTCGTTAATGAACACTCACTATCTGCAAATTGTGCTCCAAAAGACGCATTAATCTTGTAGCGAACAGCTATTTTAGCAGCAGTTACCAGAGCAAAACTGAGCTGGAAGTAGCTGGGAAGTTCTATGGAAAAGCAACAATAAAAACAAAAAAGATTCGATATCTTATCTAGGTCTTAGCTAGTGCTGTTGTTGTTGTTGTTGTTATTGTTGTTGTTGTTGTTGTTGTTGTTGTTGTTGTTGTTGTTGTTGCTGCTGCTGTTGTTGTTGTTATTTTAAACGATTATAGTTGACTACTCGGTCGCACAGAAATACTGATGACAAGACAATGCGATCTTAACCCGCGCCAGGGCGGCGCGGTGGTCCGATCGTAACATATCGTGGCTTGAAAGGGTAGGGGTGTTTTAACCCGCGCCCCACTGGGAAGGTGGGGCTATTCATAGCCCCCCCCCTCCCGTTTTTCTGCAATAACTTCCAAACCGCTTGATGTATCGACGCCAAACTTTCAGTACCTTCAATTGCATCAATTTAACACCTTGTGTCAAAATTTGAACTTCGTAGCAACCATAGATCGGCCGGAAATGACGTCAGATAGACGTCATGTTCGGCCGATTTCGACGCAGAACATTGAACCACGGCAATCGCTCCCAAGACCTCAGTTTTTAAGCTAGGTCCAATTTCTTTGCATGAAAGGACTCAGAATTGACTGCGCTATCAAACTAATATCTCGGATTTTCAAAATTTTCAAAATTTTGAAAATGTTATAAAAAATTCAAAATTTATATTTTATATTTTTTTTCAAAACTTTTTTGACTTTTCGAGAAACAACCGGAATATATGTGATAGAACGCATGCTTATGACTACCTCTAGCAAGTTTTAACTAAATATCTTTAAAAATGGCCAAGTTATACGCATTATTGCAAAAAAATTACAATTATTAATTTTTCAAATCAATTTTCCAGTACGTATTTGACATCATACACCAATATAAATAGCACCATCGTGTTTCTGAGCTCAAACTGCATCCAACATACACCTTTCTTGTTGAAAATTTTTAACTTCAAAATGTGGCCTTTTTTTACCTGAAAGTGACCTGACCTAAGCTAAATTCGACTCAAAATGACCTCGAATCCGGGATCCGGTGACCTTGAATGACATAGACCTGAAATTGTCACAATATGCGGAGCAAAGAGGTATGATAAGAAGAAGCTTCTGTTTGTAAAATATTCGCGAAAAATATAGGAGCGATAAAGCACCACCCCTCCCCTTAGCTGCCACGGCGCAGCTAAAATTGACGGCTTCCTTTAACCCTCGCGGGCCCGGGGGGGCGTTTTTCGCCCCCCCCCCTGGCGAATATTTGCGATAGCTCCCGAACGCTTAGGGATAGGAATGCGAAACTTTCAGTACCTTTTCTCCCATCAATGTGACATCTTCTTAAGTAAATAATTTGGACCTAGCCCCATTGATGACGTCACAGGGTCGATTTTTCTAGACCCCTTCACGGCAAACTTCGGCGTCACAGACGCGAACTTCAAATAGCTGCTAAAAATAGAGTTTTAGAGATAAAGACAAATTACGAGCACGGTGTAGCGTTTGACCTAGAGAAAAATAGAAAAATAGTTTTGGTGACCTGAGGTCAGAGGTCAGGTCAACGACCCCGAGGTGTGGTTTTAGTTTTTCGCAAATAACTTCGACAAAAATGGTCATAGAGCTACGGGAGAGGTACCACCGCATTCGCCTTGTCAAGCTGCGTCGAATGATATATATTTGGTTGACCTTGACACACGAAAGGTCGTCTATGATGGATTCGTACCCGCTGATCACGAATCTGGCATCTATTTTCCTCTAAGCCTTCATTTAGAGCCTCCAGATGGCAAAATTGTCTTATTTTTTATTACTTACTTGAATCAGTGAAATAGCCTCTAGCAAGGATACTCGTCTGTGACCTTGACCTTTGAGCAGCCTTGTATGGTAAGATAAACCACAAATAGGGACCTGATAAGCCTCAAAACATTTCAAAACATCTTCGAAGTTTGCACGCAAGATGTACGAAACTAGTGCAAAGTATGCATCCTGCCGACCTCTACTTTGAGGTCACTACACATTTGCCGGTTTTGCCTTTGACCTTGACCTCTGACCTTCAAAATTGACCTGAGGTCAAAAATTTTGGAAGCTTTAGAATCGTCTCGTAAGGACTTTTCGTTTGGTATCGCTTTTGTTTGTGTAGCTCCCTTATTTACGGAGTTAGACAGGGGGCGAAAAACGACCCCCCCGGGCTGCGGGTGGTTGGGATTACCCCCCAGGCCCGGCCGGGTTAACCTCAATTTAGTGCGTTATGTTACCTGGGTCCACCTCTGTGCGTAAGTTGGGTTGGCAGGCTTTCGTAGATGGAGTGTTATTTTAACCCCCGAAGGATCCAACGGCTTTCCACATCGGTTTTTACAATACGAGCATGCTCATGATCGGTAGGTATTCGCCGAGGTTAGGGTATGCCATTCAACGTGCAAGTCCTCTTTCTCTCTCTCTCTCTCTCTCTCTCTCTCTCTCTCTCTCTCTCTCTCTCTCTCTCTCTCTCTCTCTTTCCATCTCTGCCCGTCTCTCTTTCTCTTTTTCTCTCTTCCACACACCCACTTACTCACTCACTCAATCAATCACTCTCTCGCTCGTTCTCTTTCTTCTCTCTCTTTCTCTCTCCTTCTCTCTGAAGTCGAAGTGAGTCATATTAGTATGTAATGGTTGCATTTACTCTAATTGCACAAAAGTGTTGCTAATTACCACTGCAGCAAAGAGTGTCAGGTTCAAACGCACCGGTGAAAACACGACAAGGCAGCGAAAGACTCGAAACGGAATTATATAAACGAACGAAATAACCAGGCGGGGGGGGGGGGGGGCAAAAGGGAAAATAGGGACATGGAGATGGAAACGCTTTTTTTCTTGACTGCACTGTGTACAACGCGTGACAATACTCGTATTAACTACAGAATGGTTGATTTAAAGAAAAATAACCAGCATACTCATTGATAGAAAATACTTGAATACATATCGGTCAAAGCAATACGTACTGGCCTGGATGGAGTCGCTCCTGATGCGTACGGATGAGTAGGGCCGCAGGTGGTGGCCGTTGGCAGGGTCCTCCTCCAAAACAGGCTGGATTGAAGAGCTCCGACGCGACATTTCCGAGGTCTTGGGCTCCAGCGCAATCCAACAATTACGCTCTTGGATCCAGTTCGAATTTGTTCGGTTTCAATTCGGTCCAGTTCGGTTAGATCCTCTTCAATGGCTTGTCTGCTCGAATCGTTTTCCTGATGCTTGAAAATCCACCTTATTCGAAGGAAATATTTGTCTTATCGACAACCGCCACCTGGTAATTTCATCACGTGGTGCACTTTGCTCCAGACGTCAGCAAGTTCTCTTGACGGTCGTTATAACCTCTCTTCAATCCGACAATCTCCCATTCAATCACAGCTGTGGGCCGCGCTAACTTCTGGCCACGTCCCGCCGACTCCGTCACCGCACCTCGGGCCGATCGGCGCACCGGTCGCTCCGTCACCACCGGGCCGCGGTCCGACCAATCAATGAGCTGGTCACAGGCGAACACACGGCGCGCCGAACACGAAACCGACGCGTGACGCGCCGCTCAGCAAGTGCGGCCAATACGACGCGCCGCGGCGGTGGCGATCGTTGTGTATCGACGCGTCGCTCGCGTCGGAAAGGCCGCGTCTGCGGCAGAACTCCCACTGGTCAGCGTGCTCCATGGCGGGCTGATACAACATTCACAGCTGCCTCCACATTAGCATCGGTCGATGGCGTTAGTAATTAGCAATTACTGACTGGGATGACATAGCTTCCGAGGAATGACTCCGTTGACAAAGCTGGTAGCTGCTTTTGTAGCTAATGTTTTAATTTCATTTTGAGTCAGGGCAGTTTTGCTTTCGTTATCGATGCATCTAGTACATTCATTAGTTCAAAATATTTGTGAAATAAATAAAATGCGTACCTATAACCAGGGCTGCGGAGTCGGAATCGGTGTTAGAGCTGGAGTCAGTCGGAGTCGACAGTTCTGCCAGGAGTCGGAGTCGCCAAAATCTTACAGACTCCGACTCCGGAGTCGGAGTTAACGCTGCATGGTTCAACGCCATGCACTGCACCTGTTTGATTGACGATACTGCGCTTGAAATTAGATTTTGTCGAAAAAAGGCCATGTTGTTGTTTTGGACAAACGTTTTCGGCGAAAGAAACAAGAGTCTGGATTTTCCAGAACCTGCTCTGCTTCTGCGTGTTATTTTTATTGCATAATTGCATCTCAAAGACTTGGAACGCACAAGGGATCGTTTAAGGCAAGCCAAAACATCTCCGTTATGAACTTCAATATCATGGTATAGATTTTAATAGAGCCGTCCGGAGTCGGATTCGGAGTTGGAGTCGGAGTCAGAGTCGATTTTTGAAGCCTTAGTCGGAGTCGGAGCCGGATTCACCCTAAAATGCATCGACTCCGCAGCCCTGCCTACAACTACGACAGGTCATAACAGTGCACAGTGGGGATTTTTCCGATCTAGCGCCTATTAATTCAAAAAATCTTTTTTGGTTTTTGTTTATTTTATGTGTCAGTGGGGCTAAGAAATGTCTGAATTTTTCATATATGGCATTGTTTAATCTGTATGTCCACAGCAAGACTAGGAAAAATGCGCCCAAAGTTCACACTCATGCGTGATTACTCAATGGGCTCAGTAAGGACCGAAAGTATGGCTCAATTTCATTGTCCTGTCCTGTTGGTTTTATTCTTGCGAGTTCTTAAAGTTGCATATCTTCTGAAAGGCACCTATATTAGGAATTGAATGGCAAACAGAAAGTATGCCACAACCTTACTAAGGTCACAAAAATGCCATTTACAAAAAACCCTTACAGACACCATATTGAAGGAATGGTATTCTAGATAAATGTAGGAAATCAACAATGTTTTCCACACTTTTCCACTCCGAAACATATCCTATCGAATTCGCCACTTTCTCCTGCACAAGACAACGCCTAGTTTGGCTGCCGGAACTTGCCTGAACACGGAATATTCGCATTAGAGTATCTTAATACCCCACTCTAGGAGCGCTAGGGCAAACAGCACGATATAGGTATGTTCCAGACATGGGCGAATAATTTTACTTCCTGACTTATATGATGCATATTTTCTGAGACACATTCATGAGGAATAGGATGAAAGGCGTAAATTATACATACCGCAACCTTATTAACCCTAGCACTAGTGGGGAGGGGGAGGGGGAAGGGGTCGGATAAAACCCCATGGTTTTCCGCAAATCACTCGCGCAAAAAGCAGCCGATCGCGACGAAACTTTCGTTGCCCTCGAGATCATCAAATTTACATCTAACCTAAAAATTTCATGACTCTGACCCAACTGACCTTTGACCTGTGGCATATTTCTCGAGACCATGTTTGGCCGGAATCGCGATTCGGCGTATGCCAGCTCACATTATCCGCGGTTTCCAGTCTTTTTGTGGTTTTAAACGTTCAAATATGTGAAATGATGCTGGTGCCATGCATTATGGTGGGTGTCAAGGTCACGTGAAGGTCAGGTCAAGGTCATTGACCTTTGATGACCTTGGTTCACTTTTTCGAGTTTTACTTGCTTCTAGGGTAGTTTTTGGTGTTGATTTCGAATTTAGCAACCATTTGAATATTTACGAAGTAGTTCTGGTGCCTTCGTACCATGTTACGAAGCTGTCAGTAGTAGGTGACACCTATTATGGATGGCCGGCAGGACGTCTACTGGCTGACCTGACCTGACCCGACCTGGCTTAAATGCATGAAGACATCGTCTGTGATCAAAACTAACATGAAATTCGTGATCAGCACTCCAAAATACCCCGTAACATCCTAACTTTACGAAGTTCCAAGAGGTCTCGATTTTCCATCTTTAGTTGGGTCATTGACTTGACTTGGAAAGTCAACTAATGACCTTGGACTTTGAAATTGGATATATTCGGCCTCATCTCGTCATAGACAGCACGCTTGATTTTTCCGCGAAGCTCTAGCTTGATCAGGGGCCAAACGGCTGAGCCGGGGGTCCAATTGACCCCCCTATACTATGTTGATTATGCACATTTACAGGTAACACTCTCACCAGAACACACCAGCCAACATCTGTGCACAATCTGGCTACAATACTACCTATGGTTTGCCCTCTACGAATAAATACGTGCTAGATCGGAAAAATCCCCACTGTGCAGTGGGTCGCTTATAAAATAAAGGGTTGACGCCAATCACCTTGGACACCTGTTGTTTAGCCGTTGACTTTGTATCAATGTCAACGCACCTTACATAACTTTGAAAACTATAAAAAAAATTGAAGTGACCATTACACATCATTTGCCAGTCGCAGTTCTGACCTTATAATAACTTTCTTTGAGCATAGGCGGCGGAACGGGGAGGGCAGCGGGGCACCGTGCCCCCTTTGATTTTGGCAATTTAACATTAGCCCTATACATTATGTAAATATATGGTTTGCTATCTGTCAATGGTATTTTATAAGTATTGTGTGTGCCACTTTCCAAAGCAAGCAAGAGTTCTAACGCTTATCTATTATTTAGCTTGAAACGTTAACTCCGATGCTAATTTCATCTTGTAATAAGAGACTTTACCTCAACACAACTGACAACATTGCGCGACGTGCAGCGGGCAGCACTGAGTGATCTGACTACGCGGCAGTTCTGGTCTGGCCAATCTGGCAGCGCCGGCCTTCCCTGACCTGACCGATGTGACATCCCTCCGGCGACGGCCAGACGCGGGCCACTCGATCTTGTCCTGCGGCCGTGACATTGTCACCTGTCACAGTGTCGGGTGACGGCTGGGCTCCAGTGGGACGCCGACCACCTGTCTCCGACGGGCACCTGTGTGCCGGCGAACACATGTCTGCAGCGACACTGCGCCGTCCGCCAGCCGCCGCGGCGCTGTGCCTAGAGATTGGCAGCCGCTCCGGGCGTCCTGCCTTCTCTATACGCAGCCGGGCATGCAGCCGTACGGTGTTCTCTGTTGGATGACGAATGTAGCCTTATGGGCGTGCAATGGTGCAGCAGACAATGAGGAGTCACTGAAGAAATCCTTTAATTGTCTTCCCAATCGCCTGTCTCACTGCAACCCGCGATAGCTGATTAAAGTATAACTGACAATGACCGCGCTGCGGCTTCCTGATAATAATTTAGCAGCCAATAGACACTGAGATGGTTAAAAATACAGTAGGTACTGGTGTCTGGTAGTTTGAGGGCTGAAAAGTCAGGAAAATATCAAGTCAATAAATCGGTACCCTAATTGGTCAGGTGACCGCCATCTGATGTCCACCTGCCATCTGATGTCTTCGTTTCCTTTTGTTAGCTGTTTGATAAGGATTGTAACACTTACACCAATCATAGCATTTGGTCGGTACTAGTTTACATCCATTAGTCCCAAGACTACCTAAACAATGTATTGACGGACCAAGTAAGCGAAAAATCAACTAATTAGAAGCCAGGTTTCCCCTCAAACAGCATTACGGAAATCATTGGTGTTTCGAACGACTAAAGGCCTGGCTACACTATGCGTTTTCTGTGTGCGTTTTTTGCGGGTTTGCGTTTTTTGCGTGATATCGTTCTAGAAAAAAGTTGTAAATAATACAACTTTTACATTAGTTGTGCATTAGTTATGTACTAAAGTTAATATAACTCTTATATTAACTAAAATTTAAAATAAAGATCATCACAAAAACGTAGTCACGTTTTTTTCTTCTAAAACAATATTACACAAAACACGCAAACCCGCAAAAAACGCACGCAAAAAACGCATAGTGTAGCCAGGCCTTAACAGAAAACATAGGCGTCAAAGTGCAGTCCCTCGACCGCAGTAAGTGAGCGATGCCCTGTGTGGCCAGAGACCAATGAAGTTCGAGCGCTGACTCCTAAATAGCCGTTTTCTAGTGACTCCATTGTATGAGCTAGCCAATAAAGCTACGGGTTTCTATGGGTGGCCAGCTGACTGAGTTGACCTGTCAGGTCAGTCTCCCCTTCCGTTTCCAGCTACCAATGCCTGTTGGAAATTTCGGCGGACTGTGGCAACGGCCCATAGATAGTGATTGATGTGAACCCAGAGGCTCTTCAATTGATAATGACACTGAGGAACCTGAGTTAAGCCCCTCATTCCAATAATAATCAAAGCCTGTGGTTCAGTTGGTATCGAGCATCAAACTTTGTGCGCACCGGCGCTGTTGTGAAAGCCCGGGATGAGTTGCTCCAGCGCTGGATTTGGGCGAATCCTAACGGAGCTTTTCGAAGGGTGAGAGCAGCCGTATCAGAAAGTCAACGAATGAGACAAGCTGCGTTCGCCCAGGTGCGCATGCTAAGCCTTGCATTTATACTTTTTAGCTACTCGAAAAAATCCCAAACGGTCAGAAGGTATAGTCGACTACAGAATGATGTTCCACTTTTCACAGGCAATTATTTGCCTGGAGTGGTAGGCTGTGCCGCATCACACGGGCTGAGTTCACAACTTATAGCTTTGTCCCAATGCTCACAATCGACACGCTTAATTGCGTAATAAACGGCACAACTTAGCGCTCCGGTCAACTGATAGCTTCTGAGGAGTGGAACATCATTC